ACCCTGCCAAGGGGCCACCCAGGGCCGGAGCCACCCCCTCCCTGTCTTCCCGCAGCTCCCGGCCCTCCGGCATGAAGGTCCTGCTCGTGCTGCTCCTGGCGCTGGTAGCCACAGGTAGGAGAGGCCCTGGGACCCACATGTCCACCGTGGGACCCCCACGTCCACCCGTGGGACCCCCGTGACCACCATGGGACCCCCATGTCCACTATGGGACCTCCATGTCCACCATGGGACCCCTACGTCCACCCGTGGGACCCCCATGACCACCATGGGACCCCCCATGTCCACTGTGGGACCTCCATGTCCACTGTGGGACCTCCATATCCACCGTAGGACCCCCACGTCCACCATGGGACCCGCCATGACCATCATGGGACCCTCACGTCCACCGTGGGACTCCCATGCCCACCATGGGACCCCCATGATCACAATGGGACCCCCACATCCACCGTGGAACCCCCACATCCACCTGTGGGATCCCCATATCCACCATGGGACTCCATGTCCACCCGTGGGACCCCCATGTCCACCATGGGATGCCCATGAACACAATGGGACCCCCATATCCACCTGTGGGATCCCCATGTCCACCGTGGGACCTCCATATCCACCATGGAATCCCCATGTCCACTGTGGAACCCCCATGATCACAATGGGACCCCCATATCCACCATGGGACCCCCAGGTCCACCGTGGGACTCCCACGTCCACCATAGGACCCCCATATCTGCCATGGGACCCCCATGTCCACCTGTGGGGCCCCCATGACCACCTATGGAACCCCCATGATGACCATGGGACTCCCATGGACCACCATGGGACCCCCATGTCCACTGTGGGACCCCCACATTCACCATGGGACCCCCATATCCACCCGTGGGATGCCCATGTCCACCCTGGAGGGACCAACATCCATCTCAGAGGTCCTGTGTCCACCCATGGGACTCCCACGCCCACCTTGGATGCTCCATGACCACCCAAGGGACCCCCACGCCCACCTTGGATGCCCCATGTCCACCTGTGGGACCCCCATGTCCTCCCCAGGGACCCCACATCTGTCCTAGGTGCCCCACATCTGCCTCAGGGACCCCATGTCCACCTATGGGACCCCCACAGTCACCCGTAGGACCCCTGTGTCCACCCCAGGGTGGGCCTCGTCTGTCGTGGGTGTCCCCCCCAGGCACCCCACACGCACCTTGGGTGCTCCCCAACCGTACCTGAGACCCCACATCGACCCCAGGGGAGCTCATGACCACCCCATGCACCCCACGTTCACCTGTGAGACCACCACATCTGCCCCCAAGGGTCCCGTCTCCAGTCATGGGACCTCTCCCCATTGACCCCGGGGACCCCCAGCTCTCCCAGGTGACCCCTGTCCACCTTGTGGACCTCCTGGTTCCCCCCAAGCTCTTCCACCACTGATTCACCTCCTTGTCCAGGACTCGGGGGACATGGGGATGGGGCCACCAGGGGTGGCTGTGTCACACCAGAGGGTCCCAGACCCCACCCATGTCCCATCCCTTTGTCCCCACAGCCTCAAGGAATGTCCTGTGGGTGATCGAGGGGACCTCCTGTGACCTGCCCTGGCAAGCTGCCCTCTTCAAAGGGGAGAAGTTCCTCTGCGGGGGAACGCTGGTGGACAAGAACTGGGTGTTGACGGCTGCCCACTGCCACGTCCCGGGGTAGGAGGCCACGGGGGGACAATGGTGCTGGGTGGGTTTGGTGTCGATGGGCTCGAGGCCAAGCAGGAATTGAGCCAGGTGGCCCCACCTGGGGTCCTGTTTTCCAGCCAAGCAGGTTGAGAGGGTTGGTGGCATCTCGGAGGGCTTTGCTCTGCCCCTTTTTGGGGAAGCCATGACCTTAACTCTGCCCTTTCCTGCTTCTTCTGCCCTTATCACCCCCTTCTGGGACCACGGCTCTGCCCCTGCTTTGCGTGGGTGGCCCCCAAACCACCACCCCACCCCCACGTTGTGGTGGGTCCCATCAGCTTCATCAGCGTGCGCCTGGGGGTCCGGAACCAGAAGGATTCGGGTGGCATCGAGCAGTGGCGCCGGTCGGCCAAGGTCTTCAGGTACCCCCGCTACAACGAGACCACCAAAGATGGCGACCTGATGCTCATCAAGTTTCTCCTGCCCATCCACATCAACAAGCAGGTGAAGCCGCTCCCATTGGCCTCCCACTGCCCCGTGCCCGGCAAGACCTGCCAGATCTCAGGTTGGGGGTCCACCACCAGCCCTGAAGGTAGGAAACTGGTTACTTGGGGACCCAGAGGTCCAGGTTGTCCCACCCTCCCCCCCCTTCCTAGTCCCGTTGGTCCCGTTCTCCAAAGCAGCCTTGACCCCGCTCTGAGGGACCGCGGGCGTCTGGGTGGACCTGGATGGGACTTGGAGAAGCCTTGGAGCTCGGTGCCAAGAGGCAGAAGAGCTGAGCTCCAGGGTAGAAGAGGACCGAGAGGTCCAAGGTGGGGTCGGGGTTGGATCCCTCGTCCCGGGGGGGTGACCTCTTTGCCCTTCCCTCACCCGCAGTCACCTTCCCCGAGGATCTCCACTGCACCAAGGTCACCATCATCTCAGAGGAGCAGTGCCGGCGCGTCTACCCCGGCTCCGTCACCGCCAACATGGTGTGCGCGGGCGAGTCCCGCAGCCGGGCCGACTCCTGCCCGGTGGGGGCAGGATCGGGACCTTCGAG